AATCTGAAAGATACTACCCGAGACTCACCAGGGAGGCCATCGAAATATTTAAACACCAAAACAATTTCAACAGAAAAGAAGAAATTACGGCACTCAATCCAGATTGGAAGCGCGTTTTGCGCCAACCAGCATGTGCGCCGAAGCGTTGGAACCCCCACCCATCCCCCACGCATGAGCACACACGGCTGGGCGGCATAAATACGACTGGGAATCCAGCAGTTGAATCATTCTTAGTCGGAAAGCACGGGAGATCACTTCGCCCACTGCCTCATCGCCTTTGAAAATGTCCACCGCAGTTGTGGATGAAACGTCAGGAAGAAATTCCGATAGACCACGGCTTCAAAGCCCGGAAAACATTCCTAAATGTAATCTGACCGGCCGTGAAAGCCTTCATAGTCTGATAATTATAATTGATCAAAAATCGCTGAATTTTTTTGAACTATTTATGAAGATCACTCAAAATGTATACAATTTTTTGAATTAAACGTTCAACGAAATAGACGTTACACGGACATATTTCGACTAATTTTGGAACTCCATAAAATTTGATTGCTGAGAGCGATTTGATTTTAACGCACGAAATAACGTTTGAAGCGTTATTTTGTGCGAGCGTTAATTCGTGCTTCAGATAAAGTTTCTACAGGGTGGCAAATGAAACAATGCAAAATTAGTGAAAGTTACGGGTGTTCTCAGTTGGACAAAAAAACGTTGTTTATATTTCAACACCAGGCGAATTAAGATATAGACAGAAAATAATTAAATCTTTTTAAGTTTTTAAGTCCATCTAGGAACATGCCGGACTTTGCCAAATTCTGGAGTTTTTCATTTGGCGCCGTCTAGAAAATTTATCCGATTTGCTTAATTTTTTGCCGAAAAAGTCACTAACAAAATACAAATGCCGCTCAATAACGCTTGAATCATAAACCAAATCAATCGAAGCGAGCAGAATTTATTCTGTTCCAAAGTTAGGGAAAATTTAGCTGGGTAACGTTCATTTTCTTGAGAAGGTTTTTTGAGTGAAACTGACTATAGTTTTTTTAAATTTCAGGTTAGTATAACAATGAGCGCCCTGTATACTTTAGCCACGCAACTTTTTGGTGGCTACTTAGCCACTAATATTCCTCCCTGGTTGACGTGGATGAGATATACCTCGATGGTGCATTATGCCTACCAGAATATGCAAATTGTTGAGTTTAGCGATGGCCTGCCTATAGAGTAAGTAAAAAATTAATTCTTACATATTTACATTTAGGTAATGAGATAACAGACAATAAGTAGTTTATAATTTACTTGAATACAGTTTTTCCAAATAGAATAATAGTGAAAGTTTAAACTTAAATCATGCCACACGCAACTGAAGCTTCAAAGGCAAGAAAAACTTTTCAATCGTATTTTGGGAAATTCAACGAAAAAAATTAATATGAGGGGAATGGTCAAATTTTGCATTCAAATGGTTTTTGGTTGAAAAAAGATATAATGAGGGGTTTACACTTTCAATGCATTATATATTTTTTAATTATCAATGGCAATATTTTCAAACAAGACACGTTTTTTTACAAACAAAATTTTCCATTTAAGACGGTATGAAAATAGAGTACGATAAATTGAAAAATGAAATCTGCAGTCTAATATACACTAATCAGGATTTTGAAATGGTGAAGACTTTTCCGGCATTCTTTGAAGAACTGGTGATTTTTCCGTTTATCAGACCGTTCCGATGGAAATTTCGTAGATACATTTCGCTAGCACGCATGGCTGACATCTTCAGAGTTGCGTTCGACAGCTCGAAGTGAACACACTCCTGCAGCTGAGTTCCATGAGTGCTGGTGAAACGTCAGACGAAACTTCCATCGAAAACAGTCTGAAAGCAAAAAAACAATTCATCAGTTAGGTTGTTAAATTACTTTAACTATTTTGTTTGTTTTCAGATGTGCCGCAAAATCTAAATTCGCAATTTGCCAAGAATCGGCTCATATACCTGTGTCTTCCATTTTAGAGGCGCAAGGTACATATTGGCCCTTATGGGCCAACACGTTGGTTCTTATAGGGTTTCTATGCGTATTTAGGTTTCTAGGCTATATAGTTCTAAGATACTTCAATACCCCTAAGTAATTGCTAACCAAAATTGAACTATATAAGCACTGGAATTTGATATGCCAAAAAACACAGATTATTAGTTAAAATTTCTATTCTTAATGTTGAAATATATAGACTGACTGTTTTAGGTATAGAGTAATTCCAATTGCTACTAAGGCTTACTAAAGGCCTTCATTAAAATAGATTCTTTAGCCTCATAGAATCAGGTTATTCCTACCATTGAATAAATTGCCATTTTTATACGTACGTGTGTATCAACATAATGGATGATGCGGTAGTTGGAATAATTTATTCATTTCGACTTATCAAAACAGTAGGTATACATACTCAGATGAAAAACATTCGGGTTTTTTCTTGAAGAAATTGCGGCACTTTTATAAAATTTAGTATCAAAAACATATTCCATTATATCGATCATCCCATATGTGAAAAATATCACAGTTTTCTCAATCTGCCACTTTGTCAATATTGATCAAAATAATTTCCAGTGTTTAGTTTGTATCCGAAATTGTGATATATACAATAGTTTTCCGAACGAAACTACCGACTAAATAATAATATTTTGTATTTACATTCATAAATCAGGTAATTTTTACAGACAGTAATTCAGATGCGATAGTTTGTAATCCTTTCCGATATTTTTTGAGAATTTTATGGATGGCGAACAAACAGTTTTCTATTATAGTTTAAGTGTGCTATATTTTGGACAGTTTTTCAGTGACTGCATGAAAATAATGGAAAATCCACAGGCTGTGCTTAAAAGTAACTTTTCGTATCTTTAATTTTTTACATTATGATTCTACCGTTAAGTGTTAGTTTTAAGTGTAATCATTCCAGTTACAATTCATCTGAGAAAGCTCACAAGTGTTATTAACTCATGTAGAGGGTTTGAGCAAGCAGAGGCAAATTCAGATGCTCTCATTCACATTATGCACATTATATGAATTTGTTTCTGTAACTTTTTGAATAAGAAAGGGCAAAGAGTGGAAGTACCATGTGCCTTTTTGAAAGTATTCTACGTGCCAATAAATTCGATATAAATACAAGCAAAAGCAACCAGCTACGGCGACTGCCACATAATTTTGTTTTAATTTTAAACAAAAAACACCCATTGCAATTTTTTGGGTTCTCTAAATAGGGGTATGTTTAAAAGTTCACAATTTTCAAATTTTAATTCCGCAATTATTGAGTGCACTGTGTTAGTGAGCTGTGTGATATGGCGGGATAGTTAGGAATGGTGCTAAGGAAATAATTTCAATTTTAATATACGGTTAAGGAAACTTATGAATTGCATTGCTGGGAAAGGAAAATAGTAGGTATTTAGAGTTTGTAAAATTTGTTATGCGAAATCCACTCTTATTGATAAATATCTTATTAAGCCAACGATAGATACTTTCATTTGTTTCAATTTTAATAGTTCTCAACCATTGACCAATGTTTAATTATGGCTGTACTGATTTTTGACCATACTGTCTAAACATCTACTTTAAACTCTCCCTTAAAGAAAAACTTTAACAACATTTTTGATTTGTTTGCAGAAGAATTCGTTTATTTTGGACCATAAAGTAATTGGTTTTTCGCGTAAAGTAAATTTGAATCGCATTTGGATGTTACATTCTCAGTTTCTATGTAGTTCTAAAGCAATGTCGCGAAAATTGTCAGTGGTTTATATTTTTCTCAGTGAGGAGCATTAAACATCACATTTCACATTGTTATTAACAGAATATGTCAGAATGTCTTACCGCTATTATTTACGTTATAAACTTGGATTCTCGCTTTACTATTCTTTAATTTAATTATTCTAACACACTTATTAAAAAAACATATTTATTAAACACAATTGATCTTCAAGCAACTACGAACTGTACTAAACTTTTCAATATCAATATTGTGACTGTCTATTCAATTGAAAAAATATTTTTGAATTCAATTAAGATAATTTCAAAAAATATACACTTTTTGGAGCGTCAACTATCACTTTTATGTAGATTTTTTTATCAGGGAATACAACAAATTCGCGTGACCGAACATTGTACACCACAATTAAATGTTAAAAGTAGTCCTTTTTCGTCCCAACGTGCAATGAAGCTAATGATTGGATTATACTTTATAACCAAAAATACCAGCTGCTCCAATCACGAAATTGGAGAGTTCAGAGTTGCCTTTTAATCACTTTCAGAAACTCATAAGACTGTTCCCATTTTGAAATAATCACAATTTTTTCATAAATTTCCCAATACTCATACTGTATAATAACATTAATATCATCACATGCATTTGTCAAATATAATCACTAGACTTCTTTTTACGTATTATCTTTTAGGTTATTTTTTTTTATTTTACCTGACGAAGATGATTACCATTAAGTGTTCCATCACATTTAGTCAAAGATACAGCTCCTCCTTTGCAAAAGCATAACTTGTACAGATATTTTATTTATTTTTTAATTATGTTTACTGCAAGGGCGGGCGCTTGTATGTAGTATAACCATATACATAAAATAATTTGCCTTTTGTTGTTTCTTTAATAGTATGTACATATTTTATTTGATATAAGGATTCAAAACACAATTAATCATTTCTGTATTTGTGATATTTATTGATGATAATTTAACGCAATTGAAATTGTCCGTCGTTTCGGTTTGAAATCAAATGCCTATTTGAATAAGAACGTAAAATATACACTACGGTTAGAATTACAGTAATTAAAAAAATCAGACATTTTAAGTTCCTATAAAAACATTTTAGTATTCATCTGTTCCATTTAGCAGTTATTAAAGCAGAGCGTTTTATTACAAACCGTTACTTGTTTTATTGAAAAATCACTGATTTAACGTAAAAAATTGTATTCGTTAGATAATCTAGCGCATGAAAATATTTATATAACGTAAATATGTTTAGGACAATAATTATAAGAATATGTATGATCCGAATTTTGACTATTGAAAATCAGTTTAGGATCTAATGGATTACCCAAAGAATTATTTGTAATTTTTTTCGAAGCAATACACGCATCTTTCTAACTTATTTTCTAGTTTCACAAAACTGGTAACGCTTAAACTGATTTTTCAATTTAAAAACTGTAACTGTACTCAATAATATAACAAATAATTCGAACCATTCTTGATTTTTAGGAAATCTGCACGTTGCATTTGAATGAATCATATTTTAAACGTTACTTTTTTGCTTTCAATTTGTTGATGTTTAAGGCTTGTTGAAATTAATAAGGAATGGTTGGTTTAAATGATATTAATCACTTTATATAAACTATTGTTAACCAAATTTAGGCAATCTTTTATACACAATGTTTAGAACATTATCGATGTTACTAGGTGCAATCAAAATTTTAATATGTCCCTTCTAATCAACTTACACACGTTAAACATATTTTGTAGTTAACCTAATGAAAAGACCAAAACTCGTACTGCCATTTTTTATAAATAATTCCTTTGATTAGTAGGATAAAAAGATACATATTGTTATATCAAATGTATTCATATCATACCTAAAAAATACCCCTTATTTACCCCCATACCTTAGGTAATACTTATGTTATTGTATGTTATATTCATGTGTATATTTTAAAAACATTATTGTACAGACAAAACTTCTTGTATTTAACATGTTATGGCTAGTCCTAGCGTCTTCATTTATTTAGAATTTTTAATAAATTAATATGAAATAAAACATTTTGATTTCTATCGGTGTTTTATTCAAGTGTGTGTTGAAAATTGGTTAACTGTGTTTTTAAATATTAACGACAAAGATACATGAGAAAGTCGACGAAATGAACATTTTTGTTAACTAACTCCAGTAAAAGTATACAGTGTGTCCAGTATAAAATGATGTACATGGGGATATTGGAAACCGTTAGAGTTACAGGGTGGACCAAATGGGGAAAAGGTTGAGCATTCAAGTGCCTATAAATAATCTGTCATCAACTTCCTTGAACTCGGAAGAGCAACGGATATACAGGGAAAAAAGTGCGTTTTATAAAATCCTTTATATCGTGTTTATTATATAAAGATGTGCTTTTTAACGCTTCAAGCGTTACACGTTTAGGTTTTATTCAAGGAGACAAGCTTTAATTACAAAATATCACCTAGAAAAGTAAGAGCATCGAATTATAAAAAAAAAACATGTGAAATACAATTGTGGTCTAAAAATTAATGTAGTTAATTAAAATGAATTCGATTCTTGATTGTTAGTCCTGAATTTGTAATTTTGCACAAATGCTAATCTAAATAATAATGAAACAGTGCGCAATTTCAGGTTATATGTTGCAATGCAATGGCATCTAGAACTTAGCAGCTCCATCCGTTCTCTAAATATGAGCCAAAACTAAGAGCGGTTCTCAACACCCGCATTAATTGAAAATTTGTACATTTTGCGTAAAAACTCAACATTTCTCAAATGACGTTTGGTACAAAAAATTTTTGAATATAGAGCTTTTTCTGCAATGGAATCTAGAGCTGAGCAGCTCAACCGATTATCTAAATATGAGCCTAGCACTAAGAGCGGTTATCAACATCCGCATTAATTTAGAATTGGCGCATTTTGCGAGCAAACTAGAACCATTTCTTAAATGACCTTTAGATAAAAAAATCATAATTTAGGGCTTTTTTCTCTAATGGCAACGATAGATTAGCAGCTCAATCTATTTTCTAAATATAAGCCAAAAACAAAGAGTACTTTTAAATTCGTATTAATTTAGAATATGCGCAATTCGCGTGCAAACTAGAGACATTTCTTAAATGCCTTTTAGCTAAAAAATCGGAATTTAGGGCTCTATTCTCTAATGGCATCGAGAGATTAGCGGTTAAGCTGCTAATCTCATATTATCTATATATATCTCATATATATTCTCTAAATACGAGTCACAAACCAAGAGTGCGTTTCAAAATTAATTATTTTGCATTAATTTAGAGTTTGCGCAATTCGCGGGCAAACTAGAGACTTTTCTTCAATGCCTTTTAGTAAACAAAATCGGAATTTGGGCTCTATTCTTTAATGGCAACGATAAATTAGCAGCTCAACCTATTCTCTAAATATGAGCCAAAAACCAAGAGCGCTTCTCAAAACCCGCATTATAATTTAGAAGTTGCACAATTCGCGTGAAAAGTAGAGATATTGCTTAAATGACGTTGGGTACAAAAAAGTTTAATTTAAGGCTCTATTCTTTAATGGCATCTAGAGCTTAGCAGCTGAACCGATTCTCTAAATATGAGCCAAGAACTAAGAGCGTTCCTCCAGACCCGCATTAATATAGAATTTGCGCATTTTGCATGAAAACTAGACACATTCCTCAAATGACGTTGGGTCCAAAAAAAAATGTTGAATTTAGGGCTTTATTCTCCAATGGCAACGAAAGATTAACAGCTCCACCTAGTCTCTAAATATGAGCCAATAACCAAGAGCGCTTTTCAAGACCAGCATTAATTAAACATTTTCAGATTTTAAGTGCAAACTGGAATAATTACTAAAATTATGTTTGATATAAAAAGGGTGCCTTTTAAGGCTCTATCCCGCAATGGTAACTAAAGCGATGCAGCGCACGCGATTCTCTAAATAGGTACATATAATTCAAAGGCCAAAAGTATAGGAAATTATTCACCCTTGAAGAGCTGGAATTTGCCACGCGTATTTTAAAGAAGTTAAGGGAGAACATGCTTAATTAAAAATTAAAATTTATAAAACACGAAATGTTGCAATGTAAAAAAACCCCACGCTTCCCGGTTTTTCTAATATATAGCCAATATATTGATTGGTAGACATGTCTGCAGGTGGTTAACTAATTAATCTGCAGGTAGAAAATCCAGTTTTGTGGCTGCTGAAAGTACTTAAAAATTAAAAAAATTGGTTAATCTAGTATTTGCTTTTAGTAAAATAAACAAATTGTGACGAAAACAGATGCATACAGAAATTGAAAAAAATGACCCGTAAAATTAGCTGCAGAAAAATAACGAAAACTAATAATAAAACACCTTAATTAAAACTGGGCTTGGAATTACACGGTAATAATTTCCACATTACATTATAATAAATGAATGTGGTGGGAACCTAACAGCGGATTTCTGGTTCCATTGATGTCTTCAAGAACAGTCTCGACTGAGGTACGTCCGAATGGGTCAACGTTCGATTATGTTTCATATCGTGTACAATTCGACATGAAAAAAGCCATTCTTGTCTGGGTATGTAGTTAATTTTTTATTTAAGTGTTTGATGGTGGTTCCAATCTGGTGAATTTGCTTAAGCCATTTATAGTTATCTGGGCAAATATTATCAGTTGCAAGAACAACTTGTTGGTTCCTGGTACTAGCGACATCTGACACAATCAATAGGCGATCAGTTTCACCGATTTCTTTCACTGGTAGGGTACTGCTTTGCTAGTGGTACCAGTATACGAGGACTGATCATATTTAAACGGCAATTACTAAATTGGTTTTGTTTGGCTAGAATTTAACTAAAGTGCTGTCAACTAATATATTGCTCCATTTAAATGTTTAAACTTCTTAAAATATACACGATTGAACGCAATTCTAACTGACCAAACGCTATATTCCCATTTATTTAACAAGCAAAGGTCAGACGCTCAAATCAATTGTTATCTTAGTATTGCAAGATTTTTGCAGCGTTTTAATGTTTTGCGGGCTACTTATAATCGTTCAATTATGAAAAATTGCAGTAAGATGCTAGCGGGCCCACTGAGAAAATGTAGAAGGATCTGGACTGGTTTGCTTTTTTGCGCTTCAATAGTGTTGTTAGTGTTATGGATCGTTTCCTCTAGACATAATGAAATACATCCTAAACACATTTTCAGGTAAGTTTTAGCAGCAAAAAAATTGTGGCTTATAAAGAGAGATTTGTAAAACCATGCAAATTTAATTTGATTTGGATCATACAGCTGAAAATATTTATTGATTTATACAGCTAAAACCAGTCAGAGATTCGTTTGTATACCTAACAACTATATAAGTTTGTAGTTGTTATAAAAATGTTTTTATTTAGGGAGTGTTTGTATTATTTGTATATTACATACTTATAGTTTTATTTTTTAAATATTATCTACACGGGTTCAAAGCAGAATGTGTGCTTAATGCTCTTGATGTGATTCAAATTTGCAGTAAAAAACTTTCGCAAAAATAACAATTAAGCATTTGCTGTATTTCCAGGTAGATTAGCCAAGCAAACCTCTTTTATTTTATTAATTATTTGATATTTGTATCAGAAATCTATTACGCGGCTTATAAAATTGTATGCTTTTACACACTCGTATTGCTGCATATTATGAAATCCGAACTTTTCCTTTTATTTATATAAATAATCTTTATTTCCTACAGAAAAAGGCTGTCGACCCAATCGCTCTTCCTGTCCCTTTTCTCTTTATTAATTTTTGTATGGCAATAATCTGAAATATATTTATAACATATACAAACTTTGACATTTTGAAGAGAGATAAGTTATTAATTTCTGTAAATTGGAAATATTTATATCACTAATTGTACTATTGAAGGAAAAACAATCAAGAAGAATACATAGATAAAAATGGCGTGAAAGTAGTTATAGGCCATTATATTGGCAACCCTGTAAGAAAAATTCCAAATGCTACATACGACATGATTAACTCGAACAATTTCAACCCGCAACCAAACGCAGGAAGAAACGGAAATCCGGTCATAATTGAGCCGAAGGATTTACTGGAAATGCAACAACTGTTCCAAATAAATCGATTTAACTTGTTAGCTAGCGATAAAATCCCTTTGAATCGATCGCTCCCCGACTACAGACGAAAAAAGTGAGTATGTATCCACTTCAATAAAGTCGTTTTCTTCAGAAGAACTACGAATTTCTTCATACCTGCTAGTGTAACTTTTTGTTCTTTCAGGTGTGAATCGAAATTTGATGATTACCTAACTTATCCAAAAACAAGCGTAATTATCGTTTTCCATAACGAAGCTTGGTCGACTTTACTGCGAACCGTATGGAGTGTAATCAATCGTTCTCCTCGTCAATTGCTATCGGAGATTATTTTAGTGGACGATGCCAGTGAAAGAGGTAAGAAAATTCGTCGAATCCTGAAAAAAAAATTAAACCCATTGATGCATTGTAGCGTTCCTAAAGCGTCCTCTGGACCAATACGTCTTATCCCTGCCAGTAAAGACGCTGATTCTACGTAGCACTCAGCGCATAGGCCTAATAAAGGCACGACTTAAAGGAGCTAGAATCGCTACGGGAGAAGTGCTAACATTTCTGGATGCACACTGCGAGTGCACGCAAGGATGGCTAGAAAGTCTATTATCTGTGATAAAAAATGATAGAAAAACTGTCGCTTGTCCAGTTATAGACATTATTCACGATGATTCGTTTGCATATATCAAAAGCTTCGAGCTTCATTGGGGAGCTTTTAATTGGAACTTACAGTTTAGGTAATTTTTGCATCTACTGGACTAAGATTTTGAAGAATGAAGATAATGAAGTCTAGACATTAAACGTTCTTCTGATGGAAGATATAAAAACTTTTTATTTCAAATTTTTGTTTGCTAATAAAATGTTATAGTTTATCAACTAATTTTTCCATACAAGTTCTAGCGGTTGAGTGACACATTTGATAATAGTTTTCTATCGGAACTTTGCTTATATCGGCGTTTTTCCGAACTTTTTTGACACTCAGATGATTAACTAAATTGTTTCTATACTTAGATGGTATACACTGGGTGGTCGAGAGATGTTTCAAAGAAAAATAGATGCAACTACACCGTTTCCTTCTCCAACCATGGCTGGTGGCCTTTTTGCCATTGACAAAAAGTACTTTTTTGAAATCGGGTCATATGATGAGAACATGAATATTTGGGGCGGCGAAAACTTGGAGATGTCTTTTAGGTGAGCCACATTAGATCAAACTAATCAACATTTAAAATTAGGACCAAATGATTAATAATTTCAGAGTCTGGCAGTGCGGTGGGAGAATTGAAATTGCTCCCTGTTCACACGTGGGTCACATTTTTCGGAAGTCCTCACCATATTCATTTCCTGAAGGTGATTTTTAACTCGCTCATTCACAAAAGACACTCAAAATATTTATTTTTCCTAGGCATTAATAAAACGCTCTTTGCCAATCTAGCCAGAGTGGCATTGGTTTGGATGGATGAATGGGCAAATTTGTATTTCAAGTACAACGAGCATGCGAGACTAATGAAGCAGAGTCAGGATGTTACTTCGAGATTGGCGTTACGAAAACGACTCCAATGCAAGAGCTTTGAATGGTATTTGGACAATGTTTGGCCGCAGCATTTCTTTCCGAAAGATGATCGCTTTTTCGGTCGGGTGAGAAATGTTGAGGAAGATTTATGCCTTTGGAAACCGGAAAGGAAAGGACTTTCCAATCAACCTATGGGTCTAGCTAAGCTTGATAGGTAATATGTTTCGCATTTTTACGCTTAATTTTTGTTACCATCTGATGCATGGTGCGTTTAAGGTTAAGTGTTTAAGGCTAAGTGTTGTTAAATATCAGACCTTTTCAAAATTGAATTTTCTTGTATTATAATTTGATTTATTTTCCTGACTGCGTGCAATTGTTATTATATTCTTATCCTTCCTTATCCTGGGTCTCAGTCAAAGTGTGAAGTAAAAATTTTGAATATCGTTTATTTCATTACGTTTCGGCGAGACAACAGCGCCATCATCAGATTTAAAATTTACACAAACTACAAACACCAATTCACAATGAAAACATGTTGTACAAAAACTATAATTTATAAAGCGTTAAAACATTCATTAGTTCTTGAAGGAAAAAACCCTTCCTGTTGGGAGAGCAAAACATTTAAAAAACTTAGCTCATAATTGGCAAACACCAATGAAATAAACGATATTAAAAATTTCTACTTCACACTTCGACTGAGACCCAGGAAGGATAAGAATATAATAACTTATATTATAATGTAAAGAAGGTTGTTGAATACTTAATTTTTCATTGGCAAAAATTTTAGATGCTTGGAAGATGACGTACCTGAAGAAATGTTTGTGATGACTCAAGACGGTTTCATCATGACCGATGATTCCATTTGTCTGGATGCACCTGAAAAAGAAGGTTTGGGTCCAATGAAAGTGAGAATCATGGCATGTAGCTCGTATTCTAGACAGAAATGGGAATATGACAAACACGTAAGAAAATTGCAAGGATTTTACGAAAATATTTCAATTGATGTCGATGTTTTTTCGATAAAGTTTATTATCCAAAAATTATGGGAACGGTTTATGATTAAATAACCTTTTTATTTTATTTTAGAGTCAAGAATTGCGGCATTTGACAAACAAAAAATGCTTGGATACGTATAGTTCCGAATTACTAGTAGATAGCTTAATTATTAAGGATTGCAATGGGAAAGATAGTCAAAAATGGAAACTGGAAGCCGTAAATTGGAAATAGATCCGCAAAAAGGCAAAGATGTTTTCTGTACATATAAAAAGTAATTTGCAACGCAATCGAAAGAAAGCAAGCATATTTCAAGAGATTTGTACATTGTTGTCCTGAATAATTTAAAATTATAAATGTCACAGAACACAGATATTAACAAGAACATGAATACATATGTTAAAAGAGGCAAAAAGAAAAACTCAGCCTGCTCGTACATAAACACTTTTTGTACAATTTCATACAAATTTTACCTGTTTTCAATATTGCGGAAGTATCAATTTTGAGCCTAAGAGCTCTAGCTAAAAGAGTCTATTTTTTGCCCTCTGGAATTTGCAGAAAGTCAGCTATAAAAATTCTAACATTATTAACCCAGATTTACAAAATTATTTGCAACGCAATCGAAGGAAAACAAACATATTAGCAAGAATATGCAGATGTTAAAAGAGGCAAAATGCTAAAAAAATCAGCGTGCCCTTACACTAAAACTTCTTTGCCTAATCTAATGCAAACTTTACTTTTGTTAAGGTGAAACTTTTAATTTTGCGTCTAGGAGCTGAGAAACTTATTGTTTTGCCTTCTATTTGCAAAACATTGCATTGTTATCTGAAGCCATGAAACTATACGAGTCTCTTAATATATCTTATTACATTAAGAGCAAGAAGTACGATTTTTTTAGAGCAAAAAAGTCGCTTTTACTTACCAACTTAGAATTAATAATAATAAATACAAATAAAATTAAAGTCGCACTAATCAAATCTGGCGTTTTAAATATTTGTTGTATTGTTGAGCAGGCGCTAAAGTACTTTCCTGTTCTCCACCATTGGCCATGCGCGTTAAAGCTGACGACATGTTGACTTTTCCTTGTTATTTGAAGTTTGTAGAAAAATAAAAATTATGTAAGTAGAAACAAATGTAAATATCGAATTAACGCAAAATAGTAAAACACTTTTGATTAACTGTGTTTAATTTAAATAGTTGCTCATGTCCAAACTTTCGTGCGTGTAGTGTGTGTAAAACATTGTTCGATACTGTTGGAAATGTAGTGAAAAGTAAGCATAAAGCCTTTATTATTCATATTATTATTATTAAAGCGCGGAATATATGCAGTTAAATTCAATCAAAATATGCGCATATATATGCATAATTTTTATTCCAAATATGCAATTATATGCATTTATTTG